CGAGAGCAACAACTAAAGATTTTTAGCTTAATCCATTTAACTATTTCTATTTCACGAAATAGATTCATATAAACTTTTGATGGATAAATATAGATAAAGAATGTGAGGACTAAAGGCATATAAACTAGAAAGTCGAAAGCAATATGTAAACGAAGATAAAATTTTTGCATACTTTTCTCTATGCAATATGATCCGGCAATGACTGCCAGTAAATTTTCTGGAAGCATACAAATGATAATAACTAGTGGTGGTATAAAGAAACCTTTGTGCCTTAAAATTTGCTGCATTATTAGTGATTTCCATGAACTTCTTTCTAGATCAGTTAAAGTGATTTTATGATGAATAATATGTACTAATGTGAGAATAATAAATAAAAAACTTAATAACAACGGTATCGCAACACAAATAAAGACATTAGCAATCACTTTATGAGCTATTGCTAATTTTTTATTTCGAAAAAGATTCGCTGAACAGACGTGGAATGCTGTTGAAAGTACAGAAATTTCACTAACAGAACGTCCAAGAGCGTTTATTACACTTTCTGAACTAAGGAATAGAAATGGAATAACTAAAAAAATAACTGAATACTTCCGTGTCCGATAAAGATTATAATGGGAAACTTCTATAAATACACGTTCAACAGCTATCAATGCACTAAGCCAAAGACACAAGTCGTATATTAGATTAAGAAGCGTTGGTATGAGTTTACAATGTATTAGTGAATGTTTGTTTAGTTCATCGTTATAAAACAATGGTACAATTGCAATAATTTCTAAGATCACTATGCCAATAAAACTAACGATAGAATAAAGTATTATATAGAGTCCACACACTGTAATACGTATCTTTCTTATAAAACATGTTAAAAGAGTTAATAAATTACTAATAAATGATAGCACTGTTAGAAGGGAGAAGATGAAAATAAAAAGAATCTTTAATGCTATTTTAGTAGAAGCTAATTCTTCTAACCGAATATCAATTAACATCGATGATGACATTGTATACTTTACATAGTAATAAATATTTTCACAAAATTCACCTCCTGTACAATCACTACAGATACAGTAATAGTTTGATGTTTGATTATTCATCATACATTGTCCATTATTTAAACACTTACATTCACTCATTCTGAAATGATCATTAGAATGTGGTTGAAAATTTCAGATTATCCTCTCCGTTCAGTTGTGTTTGCACATTGACATATATGGAAGTAAAAATAGTGATCAGTACTATTTCTCTTTACTTCTAGAGAGTTTTCAGAATTCTTCGATCTCTATAAATTCTTTTAGAAACTTACTGCACTATGAAAATGGTTCATCTAAAGATGCGGTACTATCGTTTTTAAAAGTTTCTCTTCCGAAGCAATCGATTGTTTCTGTATCTGATATTAGTGAACTTCTTCTTGTGTTATTTATTTAGAAAACTGATAACACCTAGAATACGATGTTCATAGGCAAAGGAAATAGAACGAGGATTTCTTGAGGATTCTATAGATTTTCGTATTCAGTCATAGTCATACCTCGAAGGCGAACAGACAGTTTCGCTTATAAAAAAAAGTTGAAAGGTATTCTAAATAGATCAAAACCGAGGCTTGGTTTTAGTTCGCGCTAAGCAAATAAGTTTCTTATATGCTTTTTCGTCGAAAGTAGATTATTGAAATTTTCAAAAAAAAATAATGTTTCTTCCTTTCCATTGCACTTGTGTAAATCTATAGGTTGGAAGAAATTTTTTTTCCAATTTAATAAGTCTTTTCATTGAGAGATTTTAACGACTGAATGAAGTTCTAACAGTGCATATTTACATGCATACTAATGTTTTCGTTTTTTAAGAGCCTTAAAAAATTGCTATGTATCATGTATGCACGGATAATTAGAACAAAATTTGAAACAGATTATTATGTAGATGAGAGTGTGAGCTTTATGCGCATTGCCAATTGGTCTGGAAGAAATAAATAAGAGGCTCTCAGTTTATCGATGGTAAAAATAACAAGAAAATCGAAATCGACGAACAAAATACATGCCAATCTCTATCCCAGTCGAATGTTTCGATACCTAGAAGACACTGCCATATCGTCGATCAACGATCGAAGAAAATACGTTATGATGGTAATAGGATGTAGGTGTTGCTGTGAGTTTCTCCGTGTTCTTACCTACACACCTACCCACCCACCCACACCGACATTCCAAAACGTCATAGCTGTTGAAGGTGTGAGGGTGAGGGTGGAGAAGAGACATCCACACTCACCAAAAATATCTAATTTTGATCAATTGTGTCCGATTTTTCGAGTCTTTATTAATTTATCACAATCCTTTTTTATGTTCATTATTTCTATCGTAAACGAGCGTACGTCGTTTAGTCACAATGTGAAATAAGTTTCAGCTAAGGTGCATGCTTTGTTTTCGACATTGTAAACAGTCAACAGATGTATATTTTTTACACAGAATTCAGAGAACCCGTTTTCTCGAAAATATGATAACTTGGGAAGAAAGTTTTTGTTTTAGCTGAAACTTTTACTGTATAATCAGGAATATAACATCTCAATGTGGACGAAATTTCAGCTCAAAAGTAGATATGTGCTCTTATAACAGTACCTGAGCGGAAGTGACAAAGCGATAGTTTGTTATCATATGTCTGGAGAGGACTTGTTTAGCAAATCGGTTGGTTACTTTTGAAAACTATTCAGTGCTGATATAAACAGTTTAATCTTCTACGAAATCATTTAAAAAAAACAAGCGTGAACTATCGATCGATGTTCATTAACACAGCCGTTGCTGTTGTCGCGCTAGATCCTGACGTTATTGATGGGAATGTAATACATCGGTCGCCAAATGTGACGTTGATTCAAAAGAAATGTCGACTTCCATGTCATGATCAAAGAGCACCAGATAATAAGACTACTTTTCTCTGTAAAGTCCTTTTCTTCTTCAATCTTTCAATTGCATCAATGCTCAAGAATATAAGTCGCAGTCGTCAGGAAGAAGGGCAAGTTGCAATCAACGCTATTGTCATGAAAAAGTAGCAATAATCTGTCATTACACATAACCATCCATACATCTCAATGTTTAGCTGGCTAACCGACGTGTCTCACGTATTTCGAAAGAGAGATGCGCTATTCAATCTTGATAAAGGAAAAAGTTATGAAACGATGTTCTTTATTTTCAAATTTAATAGTTTTCATTTTATTCTATTCATTATTGTAGAAATAAAAAGTAATAGAGTTAGACATTTGTTTTTGTTTATGATTTGACAACTTCATAATCAATAAACACACCATAGTAGGTCACCTGAGATGGACCTTGTAACTTGAGAATGACCTGATAGTTGGAATCCGAGTATTGAATGAGTTTACTTTCTGTTGTTGTCACTTCGATTTCTTTGTCGTCAATTACTCTATAAATATGTGAGATGGCACCCATCATACGATCGTTGTTAAGATTAATCGTATAGGCTTGGTTTTTTTTCTGTGAATGGTGTTTCGATAATCATTGTTAAATTATCAACAGGATAGGACCAGGAGAGATGAATCAAAGTACATGTTTTTGACATATTAGTATGAGCCAAATTGAGCGTCGACGTTTTGCAGTCACCTGTAACACTGACTGTACCTGAACACCCATTTGGAGCATAGGACCAAAGTTGAACTTCACATGACTCATGAACATCATCTGTGATAGGTACACCTAGAAGAATGGGTTCCACTATCACTGTCACTAACAGAACGAAGAACAAGAGAGAAAATGCCATAGTGTGTCAATGAAAAGTGAGAAAAATCTTGTTCTATTTATATAAGAGAGTCCCAATACACATACAGAAAGGGTAATGGAAGAGAATGACAATACAAAAAAAAGAGACCAGATGCTAGGGATTTCATGTGCACAAGATAAAGTGATCAAATCACAAAAACTAATTACTTATTTGCCCTGTCATCATTACCATCATGCAAACGCCAAAGACGATTCGAACCTTTCTTTTTTTTGTACAGAATTTTGTTCTTTCTCCAAAAGTTAGTTTCTTCTGTTGGTCTGAAGTATTTTCTGTACGCTAAGGAATCATCATTTAGATCCATATTGACTACATTTTTAAATTATATGAAATAAAGAGAGCAGAATTTTATTTGAAAAAAAAAACAGATTGAAATCTTTATTAAGAAAAAACGAAAGTGACTTAATTCTCTGATAGAAATTTCTATGAAAACAACACATTTACTGATTTCGAACATCAAATTATAGATTCCGAAAGACGACACTTCAGCACATATCTCAACGAACTACTGATTTTGAATATTTTCTTCAAGACTCCCATTTTCTGAGATATGATCCCCTTGGACGAAAGCAACAATAACGGTGATTTGATAAAATACACAAGACTATATCTAATTCATCGAAAGATAATCAAGATATTCAAATACTTGAAGAGAAAAACAAGATTTAATCTGATTGACAGAGCAAACACAGCCAGCAACGCGTTCACCTTTTGTGTAATTGTCTACAAAAATAAGAATAACGAGCATAGTTACGATATGTGTTTCAACAGTTCATTGGAATATGACATTGGTTGAACACAATGTGAAAGATGGTAAAGGAATTTCACAGTATTTTCTATTCATTGAATAGAGTAAACAAAAAATCTAATAGTAGAAATTGAATACATAGTTAAGACATATCTTCAGGGTGTGGGTGTGGGTGTGTGGATGTGGATGTGCGGAGTATGAGTGTGTGAGTGGGACCTTATTCTTACTAACACTCACATCCTCAAGACTTGATCTATGGCCTGATCCGCACAGTGATCAGGATATATTGCCATTGATCAATTTGTGTCTCGATCTTGCATACTTTTAATTTTGATCCAAACCTTCAGGCGTTCAATCTAGAGCTGAGTGGATCGAAATTTAGATAACTGCTACGTTTTATTGTGTATTGATCGGAATATTCTTATCTTGGAAAATAAACAAAAAGCGTTGACTCTTTGAGTTTTATTTCAATTAAACGCGTGTAGTATCAATTAGAAGAGATAAGTTTATGTGGTCTTTCTGTCCAGACAATACCTTGTCCAAGAAAATCTTTGACAAATGCCAATAGACTTGGATATTTAGCATCGTAATGAATATTGTCATTTCGACTCGGATCATCATGACAGTCGTTATCGATAAAAACGAATTTCGTTTGTACATCTTCGATATCTGTGAAATTTAGTCGTAAATCATCGACGAATATTGCTGGATGTAATTGTTCGATAGCTTGTTTCTTTGGATTACGGCTCGGATTTTCTTTATCATGTCCTGCACTGATGACTCGATCGATAGGAAATCCATGAGAACGTAAGTTTTCCAAACGATGTTCAGTAAAACTAGCAGGCATTGATGTCACACATATAAGTTCATAACCAGCTTCATGTAACAAGTGGCATGCTTCAAGAGCTCCATCATGCATGGGCATTGTTCGCCATCCATCAACATCCCATACTGCATTGAACTGAGTGCGTTCTTCGGGTGTAAAAGTGACACCATACATGGTAGTAGACTAATGAGACAAAAAACATTTTCTTGATGAGCGACAAAAATGTGTATTGACAGAATAGTAAATAAAAAGCTGAGAGAGAGTTTCACGTTACTTACATGATACGCATTGGGCGAAACCACAGTCAATTGTTTTCCAAATGCTTTCTCATAGATTTGTCCAAACGTTGCCTGATAGTTCAGTAGCACACCATCACAATCAAGTGCAATGATGGACTTTTTGTTGTCATTTATAACTAACGGGAGATCGGTCGTCATTCTTATTTGCTTCCTTTCTATCGTATCAAAGGAGGAACAGAAAAAAAAATATGAAGTGACAAACTATAGAATCGACGCAATATATATATATATTCATCAAATAATGACCTTAAATGTTATACAAAACGATGACGTATGTGCTTCAAAAAATATTGCGTAATTTTAGCTGCTACCAATGCAAATATTATTACGGAGTCGCAGTGCCTAATGGAAATAATCATAGTTGAGTCACTTCATGACGTGGCACATGTATGTATGTGTGCTATGGTAGATTCTCGTTTCGTCGAAAATGAAAAAACGACCGTGCCCGTTTCATCGAAAAATTAAACTGTAATGAAAAAGAGGATAATCAAAGTGATAAGCCCAATTGCTTTGATTGACTTAAACTATATTCTTAAAAAGAAACTAATTGATATCCCTATACTAGTAATCTGTAATTTCGTAAAAGTATATATATATATGTGTGGAATAAAAAGGAAAAATTCATTTTTTTTTGCTATATTCATTCATCATTACAGAAAATGATGCTATCTATTGTTGAAAGTAAACGTAATAAACCAACTTTATTGCTTGATACTTTTGGCTACACTCAAGATAAAATTTTAAACACAACTGTGTTTTGAAAATGTGAAAGTTGTTCATGCCCTGGACGTGCTATACAATATGGTTCAAATCCACCATGCATGAAGAAATCACATAATCATGATGGTGATGAAATGAAATGTAAAAACGGAAGAATTTAGAATGAAATTAAAAAGACATTCCGAAGATTCCTCATAACAAGTAAAAAGAATTTATTGAGAAGAAATTAATCGGAATAAAAAGTATTGATTTTTTTCTTTTCTATATTCATATATTCTCTTAATAATTTCTTATTTATGTATCTAAATCTGCTCTATAATAAATTTTTTTTTTGACAAAGTTATCTACAAGTAATTCGGCACTATTCCTGATTAGTATGACGAAAAAATCTCATCAAATGATGATACATTCTTCATTGATTAATTAGAATTTATTTTTTCGACGAAACAGGAACTAATCGTGTGCTATTTCATTATCTACAATAAATTGTTAATCTTAGAGTATCGTCTTTTTTCTGAATTGTGTCTATAACAAGAAATTAATTCTCGATCGATAACATAAGAATGAATCTGAAGAGAAAATACTTTTTCAAAAGTTTCAGCACATCAATAAAAGAATGTATTGTTCAGCATATAGTTCTCGAAAAGACATTGTTTCTTTTTAGGCGAAATCGACATACTTTTCATATTCTATTTGATTCGATCTGATATTCATTTGTAGAAATTTTTACAGTTGACAATGACGAAAGAACACGAATGTATCATAATCCAGACACAAATCGATGCCGCAATGGAGGAATATTTTTTTTTCATCTATTTTTTCTTTTGCGAGCGTCATTACGTTTGAATGATCGATTCTCTTATCAGCAAAGAAAAAACATGTATGAATCATTGGTTTGTGTCCTATGAGAAAAGAAAATGTCGAATGAAAACAGAAACTGTTATTCTTCTCCTTTGGAAATTTGATATTACAGTCGAGTGACGTGGTATTAAATTGACGTGTCATCAAGATCATAAAATACCTCGAATTTTTAGCCAATGAAATATACCACAAGCTTTCCGAATATCTGCCTGTGATCTCAATGCTCATTTCGATCGTCCTACGTCGATTTTCGATTATTAGGGGTGTGGGTGTGGTTCTCTTCTATCTCTCACCCTCACCCACCCATACCAACACTCACACCCCACACAAAGATATCAGTTGTTAGACACTCGATGAAACCAAAGCCTAATTTTTTTTGTGTGATAATGTCGTTCTCTTTGCTAGTGAGTGAAAAAATTGTGAACCTTTGCAAAATGTTTCATGTAGCTTACGCTTGAAAGTAAATTCTCATGGCAAATATTTGTATTGACTGCCAACTTTTCTGTTATAATCAGTCTTCAATAGAATAGGACTGAAAAATAATGAGAAAAAAGAACAGATGTGTGTTTGTGTGCTTATTACTAAAGTGCCTCTTACTTGTGTTGTTATACTTCACACACACACGATCAAGCAATCGTTACAATGCGCTCTTTCGTTTTACTCTTACTTATCGCTCTCTTCTGTTTTACTGTTGAGGCACTTCCAAAGAGCCAGCTACAAAAGACTCATGATGGTGAGCTTCTATCTTTTTCAAAAGGATATTACAATGGATTTCTCTTAGGTTCTTGTCCGCCTATTCTAATGTGCGCCCCCTTTTGTCCACCTGTGCCGGCCAGTCAGGCTATTACAGTATGTGCAAACAAACCCGATTGCTGCGTGAGAGATAGTCAATGTAATCTGGACGAAAAATGCTGCCAATATGGTTGTGGTTGTAACAGACGATGTACCAAAGCTCAAGAAATGACACGCTGAAAAATGAAGTCCTACAGTATAACTTGATCTTTGATGATACAATAAAAAAAAAATCAGAAATCCTGATGATATGTTTTGAATTCAAGTTCTAGAGTTAATACGTTGAACATGCAGCCGAACAAAATACTTGTTGTTTTCAAACTAATCAGCGGTCTCCTTTGAAGCTAGAGAACATTTCTAATTGATAAATTGCTTTAAAATAACATCTTTTAAATTAAGACAAGAGAAAATCTGAGGTTACCCTAATGCTGAAAAGTATTCGGTACTCTTAGATTTTTAGAGTTTTTAGAGATCTATGGGCTGAAACTTTGCAGGAATACCTTTCTCGGTACACCCTGATCGGCGACACAAACTGCAGTTCGAATGCATTTACATTTCATGAGATTCAGAGTTGCAGATGATCCTCGATTCGATCGTCGTATCTCATAAGTTACCTAATCAAATCCAATACTATGCTAATCTACAATTATTTTGTGAAACACTATCTGAAAGGAGTGTTGAAGTGTTTAGGGATAGAAATTTGGACCTACTCCTCCTCCCCTCACAGACCGTGACAGACAAGCTCCAGGGATTATCATAGACTGTGAAAGAAGAGTTCAAGGGACTATCAGAGATAATACATAACTAACACATGACTGGAGCATATATGGAGTATTATCCAATTTTAGCTCTATAGTGTAAAGTAACCCAAAATGAAGAAATTTATACCAATATGTATAAAAAAGAACAATTTTTATAAGATTGGCGACAGCAGGTACATCGTGTTTCACATTTTTAATCTCGCAGAGGATTGCGCTAACAGCTTTTTTAACATATTGCAATTTTCTATTGATATAATTTGTTCAACATTAGTAGTAGATGATTTAAAATACTCTTCAATCTTCTGTAACAGGTCAAAACATTTTCTCTCTGGCGAAGCTAATTGTGAAATAGCTGATTTTAAAGAAATACCTTCTAACTCAATGCTCATTGTAATTTTTAAGACTATGACCGATCCTTTTATCGTTTCTAACTAGAGCTTCGATCATAGCAAAAAACAAATTAATGAAATGAGAGAGTGTGAGTGTGGGTGTGGTGTGTGGTCGTTTCTCTTTTTGAGGTACACTCACATCCTACTTCTCTTTTGTTGTTTCATATTACCAACTATTGCTTTGAAGAACTAACTGTATGTATAATCAGACATACTAAAAGTATATTCGACATGTAGGACTATGTTGTGTCATCATGGTCGGCAACTAGGATACTCGATTGGTGGTTTAATGTAATTAACACTGCTTTTATATAACAAAGAATGATTTTGTTACAATATAAACACTTTCATTCTATTCATAGTAGTCGAAAACATAACTATTCATTAATAGACATAGAATTATTCAACGTTGAAAAATTTCACGAAAGGTTATTTCAAGCATTTTTAACGATCAGTGTTGAATGTATATCTTTTGCATGATATAAAATAATAATTTCGGGTTTATGTAGAGTTATAGATCTTGAGTAGGTGAATCTAATGCATTCCTTATAATTGAAATTCTATACATTTTTCAAAGCACTTTAATTGTTTCTTTGAATTCCATTGGCTGCTCATCAGATTTATGAGCTAATTTTGTTAATTAATATATAGAGAAAGATGCAGAATGTCAGCCTCTTGCTAATGGTGAAAACCACAGATCGATAGCTCTTTTCGTTGAAGAGTTATTCGAAAAACAACTATCTCCCTTTTATTTTGAAATGGACATTAGTTCAGGAATTTTTTTTTCGAAAACTTCTGGTCAAAGTTCACAATAAAAGCTAACCAACTCGATCAATTCGCTGCATGACAAAGGAAACATTCCCAGGTGTCTATTCACTTTTGAGTCGAAACTTTGCGCATCTTGTAGATCTTGATGAGTTATGTCTACCATTAAAAAAAGTTCATGCTCCTAGCTTGTTTTTGAGGAGATCGAAACGTTTTTACTCTATTACAGCCATAAGAGTCATGCTATCAGAAAAAAATCACTATCTCAACCAAAATCAATTGAAACGAGGTGAGATTTTCCTCATGTATAGTGGTACTCATGTAGTAGATAATGTGAAATTTTGAATCTAAGTGACCTTGGAAATACGAATTATCGTAAATGTTAACGTAATTTTTATTGTCATTAATTATGCAACTTCTTAAAATTACAAGCGATACAATTGAAACTGTTGGAATAATGAATACCAATGTCATAATACTATTTCAGATACTTGATAATTATAGCTTGTTATCAGACTTTATCTATTTTTTCTTCTATCTTTATGTTACCAACATGTACCGAGAGAACAAGAACAAATAATATTAGGACATTGGTGTTCACTATTTCAACAGTTTCAATTGTACCGCTTGTAATTTTAAGAAGTTGTGTAATTATTGACAATAAAAATCACGTTAACGTTCGCGATAACTCGTTCCTCTAAAATAAGCTAGGAGCACGTACTTTTATGGTAAACATAACTCAACAAGATCTACAAGATGCGCAAAGTCGTCTCGACTCAAAAGCGAATAGACACCTGGGAATGTTCCCTTGTGAATAATTTAATAGAGTTTTTCTTTCGTGAGATTTTTCTTTTGAATAGTAAAAACCGCAGGCTTGTAGCTGCTTACATTCTCAAAATAATGAGCATGTGTCGACGCGCATTATATTTTGATGCCGACAGTAGTAAAAATATATCCTTGAGAATACTTGTTGCAAGATATGCATATATCGTAGAGTGCACTATGACTTGCAACGCAATAATTTAACCTGTATGCATACGTCATAAGAAAAGGAGTGTCTTTCACAATTACATGACTCATTTGTGTATTTTGAGCAGAACACAAAAGCATGGGTGAAAAATATTGCACGACTAAGTTGCCATACATGATATATGTAAAAGTCTAATACTGTTTTACAGTCAGTCTAGCAGCAAGTAAATTCAACAATCAACATTCGAACTGCATTTCAATAAACATCAGCAATGAACAAGACCATACTCCTATCTGCACTTCAACTTGATGAAAAATTAGTCGAATGTATATATGTGTTTGGATCACATGCGTACGGCACAGCAAGTGAACAGCGACAAAGTGATTACGATATTGTAATGATACTAAAATCAAATGCATTGAATATTCATCCATTTTTGAAATGGAAGAGTGTAAACTGGTTAACAAGACACAATTGGATAAATCCAGATTTTCGTCATTTATTTTCTGATACATCGGATAGAACATGTTTTATTGATTTGGGCGATAGAGAGGCACAAGTATGGATATTCAATGTACCTACTTTTTCTATGCTTCTTAAAACAAACACAATGTTTGCCATTGAATGTATTTATCTACCGGCACAACTCAAATGGATTGAAAATCGAAAGTTTTCTGATGAATTTTGTGTCGATGATAAAATGTTAACACAATCCATTATTAATCATTCTCGATCTCATCTTTTTATGGCATGTAAAAATATGATAGAAAACTTATTTTCAACAGAAAATAATGATATAAAAACTCGAGAAGTAATCGATAATATGTCAAAAGATCCAATATGGAATCATACACCATTACCTAGTAATTATAACTTTTATAAAACAAAAAAATTAATATGGCATTCTATTCGCATACTCTATTTCGGCATCGATGTCAAACGTTTCAGTCAATTGACAAATTACACAAGTGCGAATTATCTCTATGACGATATTCTTAATATGGAATCCCATAGATGGATTGATTTCGAAAAGAAATATATCTCAATCTATTCCGAACTAACACATGAGTTTATCACACCAGCACGATGAAATGTAATTGTCAATGACATCAATCTTCGTTCTTACATTTTATATTGAACAATTTGAATCATATGGTATAAACTCCTCCAACTCTACATATTCCAGTGCCGTCCCATAATAGAAGACCTTTGTCTAAACCCTTCGTTTTAATTTGTTTTTTTCGTTGGATTATTGTTCAATCATGTTTATTGGAGAATCAAAGTTGTAAGAATGTAGAAGAGAAAGTAATATGTAGCTTATCAATGGATAAAAGGAATAGATTTTCTTCGGAGGAAGAAAAAGATAGAACTTTGAATGGTGCTAGGAGAAGAGAAAAATTAAGATTAAACTTCCTTCGCATCAACAGTAATATAAATTTAGTGAATATATATAATATAGATAAATAGCATCGTAAACTGCTTTTCGACGATGAAGATTAAACATTTGATAATGTGACAATGAATTATTACATTTATCAGCACATCATTCATTGGAATTCGAAGATGATCATGAAAAACAAGAATGTAATGAAAAAAATCAATAATCGAATAAAAATAAAAGCTCACATTTGTTAAACATCATCAACAACAATAACATAATATCATTTTTATCCTTCTTAACTCTTTGACTTAATTGTTTTATAAAAAGTTTTACCGCTGAAATCTCCACGAAAACTTTTTAAGATTTACTTCTATTGAGTAGTAAGGAAATAATTTAAGCGAAAAATACTTTACATTTAAAAGCAGACCAACTTTCTAAACTGAAAAACTACTTTGCCCAAGTACTTCCATTGAGTGAAGCGATAAAAGTAAGAGAAAGTAGATGCATTCTGTGACCCTTGAAACATCTTATCACACAGTATTGATTGAATAGATACTAAATTAAATTTAGATATTTGCATTGATTTTTAACCTATTTTAAACAATTCATAAGTTTTCTGTTGTTTTAATCTATAGTTCTCTATAGTTTCTGAAAAATGTCTGATAACTAAGCCAAAATAGCATCTTTTGAGCTCGAATTTGTTTTATACTAGATTGTTATCTTGATTAGATTCTTCAAATAGCATTAATCATAGCTGAAATCTATCAAAGTACAAGATTTTCTAGAATCTTGTCGCAGTTTTGGACAATCATTAACACAATAATAGCAGTGTTTTCACATGCCATTTAAACACAATAATCATCACATCTTTCATGCAAAACTTGATAATAATGAAAGGCTCGTATTTTATTGCTTAGTAAAAAATCAGTGTTAGCATAGTAAATAATTTCAAAAGCTCAGTAATTAATTAAAAAAGACTCAGTATTTAAGGGTGTGGATATCAATGTTTCTAACGATAACACTCGTGTCCACATCCACATTGTTCATTGAGATGATCGGATGATGTACATAATAAAGGCTTTTTCTATGTTTTTAATGGCAAGGACGTATAATTCTTTTAGTTTCGATTGTTCTCTTACAATAATTTATATGTATTTAGAAAAAAATTTAATTTACAGATGTTTCCAAAGTATTAGCTTTCTTCTTCTGTACATTACAATAAAATAGCAAATGTACAGTTGCCGGTACGTACATTTTACTTGTAATATCCGTACGGACGAAGGACCAAGGTGGTTATATTGGACGTGATTATCTCGTGTCATTTTTTTTTATCTTCTATTTTACCATAATGCATTGAAGAAGAAAGCTGATACTTTTAGAACACCTACAAACTAAATATTTTCTACATAAATTGTGAAGGAATAAGTGATACTAAAAGAAAAAAAAGTTACTTTTATAAAATAATATTGACTGCTAAAGTTCGTTGCAAAAACGCCGATTTAGCGAGATCTATTATGATATCTGAAAAATCACTGATTAATCGCAGTTATTCGAGAATGCTTTTTCTTTACGTATAAAGTCGCTAATTAATCGCGATTAACCATCAAAAGTGATGCGATTTTGATGACATGGGTAGATTCTTTGTTTCTCGATACATGACAAAGAATTTTGTTCTCCATTTCTCGTTGTAGATATTGGAGTTGAAAGGCTTCAAAATTGAATCGAACTCCATAGTCGACTCTTCTATCATCATCTTCATAGATAAGAAATGAGGCAGGTCACCTATTAAATCTGGTCAATGCGCAATGTTTGAACATTGATAATGAAACAACGATCTTTCTGTCTATGGACAATCTAGGTGTGGATGTGGGTGACTGACGAGAAAAACTATACTCACACCCATGCTCACGCCTATACCCTTTTTGAAATTTTCAAGTATTTTGACGCTGGCACCATCATTTATTAACTAAATTAAATTTTTTTTATGAAAAGAATCAGCGCAGACAGCTCCACAAAGTCTGATAGACGAAAAAATTTTCTGAGAACCTTTGTTTTTAGGGCTGACTATCCATTGTACACTATAGTGTGATTTATCGGTGAGTTGCATCGCCTCGAATGTGATATACAGCTTGAAAAGCCGATATTTTGCGATTTGATATGATAAAGCTGGCGTTTTCCATGTTTTTAGGCTATCTACTTCAAATTTCTATATGTAATGATTGAAAATTTGATCTCACTTACCATTTTCCACCAACAAATTCATTTTATATTCTATTGTTTTTGCCGAATTTTTGCCAGTTTGGCTTCGGAAATGAGTCGATCGAACTCCTGCCGGACCAGGTCGGTTACAAAAAATCTGTTCAGTTCCACGTCTGGTTGACAGTATCCAAAAATAGACAGTAGAAGTCATTTGAAAATCAGCAATATTCAAATCAAGCACTAGTGTGGTTTGACGATCGGTCGGTAATATCGACAATGGTCGAGAGACGATCAACAAGCAATAACGAGCAACGAGAAAAATAACGGTAAACAGTCGCTCGGTGTCCAATAATATCAATGAATAAAAAAGATAAGGAGAGAAAAATAGAATTAGCCGACGAAGCCCATTGAAAGCAACGAACATTTATTCGAGATAATGATCGGATGTCGAGTTTCGAAATGATCAATGCAATGAAAACATGTCGTTATGACTTGTGCGCCCGAATACAAAAAAACAAAGCTTGAACAAGATCATTAGCACAGGACTATTATTTGGAGAGGTCAAGTGACATATAAGGACAGATGCTTGAAACTGTCACAATCAACATTCACGACGCTTCTGTATCGACAATGTCTCCATAGCGAAATCGTTCAATGTATGTAAGCAGTGGTCATTATCGCTTGAAACTGATAGTTATGTATTATTCTTTCTTTTGATTGTCACTGTTGTATTATCCGGATCTATCATCGATTCTTTTACCATTAGCATTATGTTGTCAACTAACCGACATATTATTGAGTCATAAAAGATGTCATCAACATACGCACATGAATTGCACCATTATGTAATTGTCTCCACTATTTTTCTTCTTGTTCTTTTCATCTACTGACGACGAATAAAATCTAGAGGAATGTCAAGGGAGAACGACAAAAAGAAAATCATCGTGCGTTTATTCATTGACTTTTTGCAGCATCATTGTCGACACACGTTTCATCCTTTACATACAAAAAAAACACTCATATCTTTGCATATAGATATTAACAATGTTTTCATTGATTGCTATTGCATCGGTTTCTTATATCCTCTATCGACTCTACGAACACTTCTTTCCAGCGCCTAGCATTGATCCACGCGGCAAGTATGTGTTGATCAGTGGCTGCGATACAGGCTTCGGATATAGTCTTGCCATCGAGCTTGATAAGCAAGGCTTTCATGTTCTAGCCGGCGTGTATAACGCCGACAACAAACAAACACTCGCCAATCAACTCTCCTCGCGCGCGATCGTTTTCTTGCTAGATATTACCCGTCAGCAAGATATCGATGCCGCTTTAGCTTTGGTGAAAAGTAAGACATCAAGTCTGCACGCCCTCGTGAACAACGCTGGCATCGCCAGTGGTGGACTCATCGACTGGATCTCGCTCGCATCCATACGTCAAGTATTGGAAGTCAACTTTTTCGGTCATGTAGCGATGACCAAGTCATTCTTGCCATTGTTACTCGCCGAACCGAACTCACGCGTAGTGAATATGAGTTCGGCGGCAGGCTATCTGGCGGCGGCCGGGGCTTCAGCTTACAGCACTTCAAAGTATGCACTTGAAGCATTTTCTGACTGTCTTCGTCGAGAAATGATCATGTGGTCTTTGCACGTATCTATCATTGAGCCTGGTTTCATGCGCACGCCAATTATTGAGGGAATAGCAGAGAAAATGCGAGATGTTTGGATCAATCATACTGATGATGAAGCCAAGGCGCGGTGGGGTGAGGATTACTTTTCAGACTGGCTTGCCGAAGGAACAAAAATGACAACACAAACAGCTGATAATCCAATGAAAGTAGTTAGTGCAATGTATCATGCAGTGACAAGCTCGAAACCGCGCATTCGTTACCGACCCGGTTGGCAATCAAGTCTCTTCTGCTTTCCTCTTTCGATGGCACCTGCCTGGTTTACAGATTTTCTCATCGGCTTAGGGCAACGCAAGATGGCTCTGCCAAGTGGTGTGCCGAAGCGGATGGAGCATCGTACTCTATAATATGAAGCATGATTGACTTATTGATTATCAGTAGATTTATGTGTATGTTTACTCTTCTCGAGTAATAGTACATTTTGTCAACGATGCAAACAATAAATTCTTATAGATTCACATCCAAAGCTATCTTCATTATCTACTAAAATATCTAACTAGCCATCTGACTAACTCTCTACATGTCTAGAGTGAATTGTTCTAATTCTGCTGGCAAAAATTTAACTCCATTGTAGTTGATCTATCGTCCAATCGGATAATACTTCGCTAAGATGATTTTTAATACCTCCATTCTCCGTATTAGAAGACTCCGAGTCTTCTATTACGTTCCAACAGACAAAATTTTCCATCGAGTCTTCCAATACATCTCATTCTTTTCAATGAGAGTGTAGATGTGGATGAAGAGAAGATACACACAGCCAACACTCCACACACTTCAAACCTCTTCAACTTCATCCCACAACTTTCTCGCATCTTACATTGCTCCTTCAGATATGTACCAGCGATCGTATATTTTCTATTCAAAAAAGAAAGAGACATGCTAACTGTAGCCACATTTTTTGATTACCTTTCGTGAGTCACTCTTGGTTGTGTGGATGTGGGTGTGACACGACACTGAAGGGATCCGCATATACCCACACCATATGGCTGATTCCAAATGCGATGAATTTCATTTGACTACGATCCATCGTATTCCCTTAAATAAATTATAGAAAAACTTCTCAAAATCGAAAACCTACACGATCCGATGGATGTTCCTCTTCAACTCAGACATTTCTTTCAAGTGCTCAATTTTTTTGGCCAATCAGTGACGCACCAAATATCGAATTTGTAGTGTTTGAATTGACAAAGAGCACAGGTTTCTTCTCGTTGGAGAACACCGAAGTTCATCGTAATATTTGTAGTTTTAGAAAACGAACGAAAGATTTAACTAGTTAAAATACGATTTCATTCAAAGTGAAATGACCAATATTCGTGTTCACTATGATGATTGATGAATCTCTTTCATTCGCGTTTTTCATTTTCGACTTATCATACAACTTTCTTAAACAAATATTCAGTGGTCGTGATATTAAGGATAAGAGAAAATCAGTTTCGAATGGTCGAAACCTAATTATGACCATCACATTGTGGCACAGACAAATATTCGGTTGGAATCGGAACTTATCATTTATGTTTCAGTGTCGAGCTATTCGACTTTCATCTGAATTTCGTCGTGAATTTTCTACTGCAGATGAAGTCTTCGAAATCATTGTTGTCTCAGTCAAATGACAATGAATATCTCTAAGAATCGTCTCGCTAACATTAAACTTGAGCTTCCTGGTAATCCATTCAAGTATATTGAATGGCATCGAATATGAACTTGATTTTCGCAATTGCTAACCTTCATTCGTCGTGAGTCGAAAGCACTCTTATCGAAAAGTTGAACTCAAATGAAGTAGCCGAGTGTAATTCATTTGTTCTCGATCGATCAGTAATTGATAATAGACTTTTACTCTTGGCCGATTTTTTATATTTGTTTTGTTGTTTTTCGATGATCCAATTCACTTCGAAAGCGACGATCGATCATCGATATAAAGACGTGACTCGATCTGCATGCGACAAAAATTATTTTCGTGTCGATTTTCCAGAAAGACTTGTCTTTTTGTTTTGGATATTGGAAGAAGATATCAAACTGTTCTGCTCGTTGATCAACTGAAGAAAGAATTCGCTGTCGAAGGTGTGAGTATTGTCTATTCCATCATTTACATCCACACCGCCATCAATACCAACAACCTACGTCCTCACTCAGACATCCCACGCACACTCAGGATGAACGATCTGATATAGTTATTTTATCAGAAAAATGCTCGCATTGAAAAGATATAGAGTAGATTTTGTATTTCTCTCACAATCTAGGGCCATCATTTGGACCGTTGAAAATCGTCTCTTAAACGATCTAAAACGGCTAAAAATGAGCGTATTACTCAATGAATTCTCACCGTATTTTGCTGTAATCTGTCAGCAAGCTTTGCAGTCTCGTTTTCACTAACAAGCGGCCATCGTTTCTTCTACTATTTTTATTGTTGATGACCGTTCACGGCGCTGTTCTCTTCCACCTGGAAAAGTAATCGCACAGAGATATTCACAAATATCTTTTTCATTATCGTACAGATCGAGTGTCTATTTAGATGGTTTTATTTTTAAATAATCTATATTCTTTGTTATTTTAGTTGAAATTAAAAAACAGACAACGCCATATTAGTTTTAATTATTGTAGTTTTATTTGTTTGAATAAAATGATGTATTAATAGAACTAGGAAAATGTGTATCTGCGGTTAACATATCCTCTATCATTCGATTAGGAAAAAATATCGAAATTGGTCGAATTTTACACTAATCTTTTTTTCTGTTCTTCTTTAAAATATTTTTTTTCATCATTTTATCATCGCCTTTTTAACGAATTCGATTCATTTAACCAGTAAGACAACAGAGTACATAACGTAAGTGGAAAATAGCAGTGATGCGCTTCGTTAAATGGTATTTGATGATCTAGATATTGGTGTATATAAGCCAGACGATGTATTATGAAATAGACAACTAGGCAAACAAATAATTGCACGTGTTTTTTTTTCTATACCCTTTTCTTCTTCTCAATTTAAATAAACCATTGTTCATTCGTATAAAAATCGATTCAAAAGATGATCAACAAATAAACAACAATCGTTCTCAATGAATTGGAAATGTTCTGAAATAACATTAGAAGCATGGCTACGTCTTTAAAACATTTTTACTAAGAAAAAGGTAATAGGTATAGTAATATTTTCAAGTAAATCTAATTATTCGTTGTTTAGGAGTTTTTGTAAGAATGTAGATGGTAATGAATTACATTGGCATAGTTGTGGATCAACTCTTGACGACACATTTCATATGAATCATGTGCAGTAACAGAACTAGTGCCATATATTTTTATTTAATTTTTTTATTTGAACACATTATATTTCATTCGCATATCCTTCATCGTTTTATAACAGATTATTTTCGTTATAACGTAGTCTATTATATGAATATAACTGATATTGATGATAAAGTAAATTTATTTTGATTAAATTTTTATATCTCATATTGATTTTACGTCAAGATTATAGACCTGACTTGTGAAGAGAAACTTCTTACACAGTGATTCAAGATTGACTGAATTACAACTGCCAAAATACTTGAACGTCGTCAACTTGCAGTTAAGGTAGCGTAGAAAGTTTTTAAAATAACCGAGATAAATTTGCCTTTCTTTTACGTTCGAGAAGATGTTCGTTCACTTTTTTTATCGGATTATGATCAAACACAACCAAAAGTAAATATTCATTTCAATATATCTTGCAGCGTTAAAATAGATTGTATTCTTTTGTAAAAATCATTTGATGATGGTCATGATATTTGTTTTTTCATCTTATGACGAAATTATTTTTTGTACAGCAGACCCACTTGAAAAATAAACATTTTATTGAATATACTTGTTAATTTGAACAATAATTTAAGATTAATGTAGAAACTATGAATGTTTTATTTCCACTTATTGAAATACGTGTGAGTGAATATGTGTCTAATATAATGAAATTATTTGAAAAAATCAGTGAAAATGGTTATGAATATGGATCGTATTCAATGATTTGTTTTGCTTTATTAAAGTTTAATAAAAAACATATATATGCAACATTCGAAGCTGATGAAATGGGTCATATTACTGCATTAAGTGTACAAGAACGAGCACTAACAACATCAGAAATTGTAAACAAAGACAAGGAAAAATACAATAAATCAGGTGAACCTGTTTGCCTATCACCACGGAATTTTCGACTGCCAAAACCTCATATTCAACGTGGTGTTATGGCTAGTAATGTATTAGATAAAAACTAATTGCCCGAATAAATGTTTTTGATAGACAAACAGTATCAAACTATTAAGATTGGCTATTTTAAACACGCTATTGTTTTAATCTTTCAATAGTGGTCTTGTGTATTCCGCGTCTGATCTTAATTGATTCATCTGATTAGATCAAGTTTATTTGAATATTGCCCGTCTCGTTCTTAGTTAAACTACATAGTAAATAAAACTACTATATGTTTGTTAAATTGAGTCCATAACAAATAAATAATCGATCGAATTTTCGTTGTTCTAATCAAAAATTTTTTTAGTTTTCAGACTCAAAACTTGATATTCTTACGAATGCTATTGATCAAAAACTTCCTCATCATACAAATAAAATTGCTTTATCTGAAACTTATCATGATAATAATTTGTATGCTAATTATTTTGTTCACATTAGATGTTTCAATTATGATAGATTTAAAATGATAAAATTATTAAAGAATGTTGTTATAATTATTGATGCATTTACAGATTATCAACTAAAACTAAGTTATTTACTATTTCTTTTGGGCTCATGGTCATCTACATGAAGTTATGAAGATTATGAAACGTAAGAATTACTTGACTATAAAATGTTTATTGATAATTTTCTTTCTAATGTCAAATGATATTTACTTTCAAACAAGAATCTCAATCAGTTGAATCGTTATAAGAAATTCGACAATAAGAATTTTAAACTTCATCAAATCCTTCAAAAGAAAAAAGAAGAAATACAAACAGCATTATGACATTCGATTGTAGGCCGTATTTTCGATAGTGTACAAGAAGAAATGAGTAAATATTTTGCTCCGAAACATGTTGATCCGGCCACATATTAAGAGAAGATATAATTGATTATCACATGCATCCTCTTGCAAAAGAAGATTTTGGCTAACGTTGAGGGTAAAACCATATTAATATTAGATGGCACCTATAACTATATACAAAAAGGTGCCCATAACATGCTTCAACGAAAAACCTACAGCATGCATAAAATCAAACCATTGGTAAAAACCATAATGATCGTTTCTGCTGATGAATACATAATATTAATGCTGGATCCGTAATTTGCAGACTATAAGAACAAGGATGCCGAGATAACAAAAAACATAATTTATAACAATAAAGAAAACATTCTCGATTGGTTCAAACCTGACGACATATTGGTCATAGATCGTGGTTCCCGTGACGCACTGGATGATTTATACAAGTTTGGTTATAAAATAAAGATGCCCAGTTCTCTTGGTAAAAATCAGAAACAATTCATCATAGTAGAAGCAAATCAAACTCGTTTGGTAACAAAAATCAGGTGGATGGTAGTATCAGCTAATGGAAAAATCAAACACTTGCGTCTTTTTGATAAACTTGTATTGAATACTATATTGAAAAGTATATGTGGTTATTTTGCTATAGTCTGTGTGTTAATCAATGTCTATCGACCATTGTTCATAGCTGACAGTTCTAAAGACAATGCTATAGTTGATCAAATGTTGAGATCTATAACTAAATCAAACTATATAAAAACATATGTTAATAAACTAAAAAGTAAATCTGAAAAATCCTTAACATGAATTTTATTAAATGCAAACATTTGGTCAAAGATTTTCCACGGATGACGCTCAATGAATTGAATGACTTGACCATAAACATTCTATCAACATAAACAAACTAAAAAGAATACTGTAGAACATTTGTCCAATGATAGCTCGTTTAATATATAACAGTGGCCATACAATGAAATCATTTGTTAAGGGCTTAAATACAATCTCGACATAAAAATTCTATACTATACGATATCCAGGTGCAGTGCAATTCAAAAGAATTATTTGGATCGTACTACCAATGTCGGAATGACTGTCATGTAGTAGGTTATTTTCGTATCTAAACTTACTAACCGATACAGAGAACTCTTTAGATAGTTCTGACGGCGAAGGAGATGAAAATAATGGTGATAATTCCTACATCTTATACATACTTGCTTAGACTGACAGATGATTATATAAGTATTGAGATGATCCATAAGCAGCAAGAAAAGAATTCATATGAAAAAGGCAGTTCATTATACTACAATTAGTTAACTAAACGGTCGGACACATTCCGTCTTCGGAGTCATTTTTTCTTTCGATAAATTCGATCGATATACTCGTTGTCGTTTTAATTTAAGTGTTTTGTTTGTTTGTCTTATAATCAGTAGATTGATAGTTTTCTTTCGAAAAAAAAACCATAAAACGAAATAAAAACGACAAAAACCTCCAAAAAAAATTATAAAAATAATTCGACCAATGACAGGTTAGTCTTTCCATAACAAGTGAGATACAGCTTGTTTATAACAATGACGGCTAACAAATCTGCTTATCCTTTCACCCGTATCTCATGTCATCATATATTGTGATACTTTCACTATTAAGTACTTCATACCATCATTTAAACGTAAAATAATATCAACAAAAGTGTAATTACTCGGTATTTCTGGCAGTATTTCACGATTTTGACGGTATAGTACATCTTTCTTTTTTAATTTAAAGAAGATATTTGTGTACAATGTGAAAAACTGCATCAAACCGTGTATGTGGCTTCATGACATCCGATCAATTTGTGGCACTGAAAAGATGAATCATGACTCTCTGTGAGATGTTTCTATGTGAATGCAATATTTCGATTGCTTATCGGTTGCTTTTAAAACTGAATCGAACTGGTATGAATAGAGCAAAAGCGGATTTATCTAGATACAATGTGTATCGGGATTATGGCATCCCTCTTCTGTAGTGAATAGTTGAGTTAGTTCTGTTTCATCTTTTCTAATAGTTTATTTCTAATTTGTCAAAGTGAAGTAATTGATCGAAGTGCCGAACATGATGGTAACTCAAATGTTATTCATCGATTGAACTCTCTCGGCTGATGTTCACATTACTTAACATGAACTCTTGGTGCAAGAATTAGAATTGAATCGAATCGAAAGAATTCTATAATTTGAGATGACCTTGATTGATAATCCATTTAATTAAAAAGTCCATAGATATATTCTATGGTAGATATGACATATGATTCAATCCATAAATGTAAAAATTTAAGTAAAGATACTCGAGAAAGATAAAAATCTAAACCTTGATCATTTATACCAATGTATCAATCTGTACACAACATAACCAACACCATTATGAGCTTGTACTTTTCGAACATGTACTGCGGAATAAATGTGAAAGATCGGTTGAGTTAGGAATGCACAATTAAGTCAGATAATGCCGCAGATATTTGTAACTGTCGTTGAAGTGATCAACCAAGGAAATATTAAAAACCAACAACTATTTACTGATCTTACTATGAGATATTTCACATTGATCAGCTGATTTAGTTGTTGAATTATCTCACTAGACGCTAAATCGATATACATAGAACGTACAGTGTGACAAGACGAGCCAAAAGATGGATTTGCGTATTCTTTTTTTCATACAACTATTAGTAATTTTTGCTGAGTAAACATCAGTCTCACGACCTTTAATCGTCAGTTCCATTGATAATAAGATAAGTATCCTTGACACTCGACAGAAGAGAGTTCAAACAAGGATTGAGCGCGAAAAAACTTTTGTACAGATGACACACTTCAAAATGAGAAAATAAAACAATATACATCTGATAAAATAAAGATTTCTTAGTAACGATTAAACAAAAGAATGTATATTCCATCATCTATGTGTCAGATGTTTGATTGGAACACATTTGTCTTGCATTGCACAGTCACATTGTCGAGCAAACAATGACTATAAAAAAATTATTGATATTTCTGCTTCCATGTTAAATGAACCGACAAATACTGAATGAAGACATTGGAAGTGATCCAAAGCATGAAAAAATACGAATATAATACCTCATTAGAAACTCAAATTTTCAACACTGTATCAATATGAGGAAATTCAAAATGTGTGCCCAAAATAAGTATTCTAATTTGTTGCTCAAATTTGATTTTTCTTTTAATAAAATCATTGGTTCGATTCTCTACAAGAAAATATTAAGATCTTTCATGCGAAAATGAAATGTGAAAAATTGAACAAATACTTAATACCGTCTAATGAAAAAATATGTTTTTCATTGTATTCACGAGCACTTTGAGACATGAAAAAGACGAATTAGAGACTTTGTAGCGCTTGAAAGATTTGATATTTTAGCTGTACGTACCATTGATGTAGCGACATGAAACTGTGTGATGTGCTACATCTTCGGTTTTTTAAGAATTTGGTCTTTTGAAAATAAAAACAGATCTTTTTACAGAGCGTTGTAAAGATGGGATGGATATGAACCGATACATTATACCGCCGAGTTTTGAAACTCAAAAGCTGACATCTCTTACATCAAAGACTTCACCACGCGCCTCCTTGGTACACGCATGTAATTAAAAGATTTAATTATTGATCCCAGTACTATGGACAAAGAATCATAACATATATAGTTTGATTAACTCTGTAGTAGCGAAGTTACTAATAATAAACATATACTATTGAGTCTGGTCAAACGTAACAGATGAAAAAAATAGAAAAGATTTTGTAAAATTAATAGAAGCTCAATGTTTGCTCTGAAGTACCATGTTCTATAAAAATAAAATTATGTATCACAAAAGCAACGATTCTCAGCTGAGAATATTATATCTCCTCGAAAGGAAGAGTCTCGTTTTCAATACTTGAAACAAAGATGAACACAAATTAAATTTTTATATTCGCAATGATTATTGAATATCAGTTGCAACGTACTAAATGTTTCATAATCTGATTTAGTTTGTTTAAGCAATAATTTTCTGTGGTAAAAAAATGAATCGAATTCTCAATCTTCCAGTAGATGTCTCTAGTCTACGATATAGTATTGTTTACCAGTCGATGAATCGATCTCGACCTCTCCAATGGAGTTTTACGTTCTTTGTTACTTTCATTTTGCACTTATTGTGTGTTATTTCGTCACAATATAACTTCACTTCAACAGTGAAATAGTTGTAATATCTACTTTTTTCTTGTTGATTGTTATAGTGAACGATGGCCGATGAAGCTGCTCGCCGTTCACAATATGAATATAAAGCTGTAAGTAGAATAAATTTAATCAATTAAATAAACTTTTTTCATTTATTAAATAGAATTCTAATCTTGTCTTACAAGTTGATAAATCTTTAATTGATCGACGTGGACGTAATGAAGCGACCGGTGAAGTACTTTCTCTTACAGGTCATTTAAAAGGTACTAAAATGGGTGATCGTGCTCAACGTACTCGACCAGAACGTAGTAATAAGTTCGTATTATTTCTTAATATCTTGGCTTGTTTTTTGTTTATTTAATATTTATATTTTATTTTTATAGAAAACAAAAAAAAGATGAAGATCATTCATCAAAATATGATTTCGGACGATTTAAAGGTCAAACATTACTTGGTGATTCAGCTGATGATGCATCAAGTATATTATATCGACCAAAAACTCAAGAAACTAAACAAACATATGAAGTTTTACTTGGTTTTATACAAGAAGCTATTGGTGATCAAGCACGAAGTATTCTATGTGGTGCAGCTGATGAAGTTTTAATTGTACTTAAAAATGATAAATTACGTGATAAAGATCGTAAAAATGAAATTGAAACATTATTAAGTACAAAAATTCCTGAACAACGTTTTGCATTTCTTGTTAACCTTGGAAAAAAAATTACTGATTGGTCAACAGATGATAAAACTGGAAAAGAAGGTAAATTTATAGAAGAAAAAAAAATGATTACTCAATATAAATATATATTTTTTTGTAGAAGAAGAAATTGATGAAACATATGGTGTTAATGTTGAATTTGAAGATTCAGGTAATGAAGATGAAGGTGATGATAATGAAGTACGTGAAGATGAAGAAGGTGATCTATCAGAAGGTGAAGAAGCAAAAATGGATTATACAATTCAAGAAAAAACTTTTAATAAAACGGTAAATAATTATCAATAGAACATTCATTAACCATTCAACAAAGAGAATATTAATGATTAAATGAGTGGAAACTATTTCAAACTAATAGAGAATAATTTTAAGCTCTATACTAATAGAAGTTTTGTTAACAGCCGAAATCTCCCAAACTAATGAATTGCTTTCAATCTGAGACTACGCGTATCATACAGACCCTAATGATTTATGAATACTCCAAAAAAAAGCAGCAGTGTTCAGACTTCCGAAGAAGGAAATTTCGGAAATTTTAAACACTGTGTTCTAAATTGTTTGGTAGTTTCCAAAATTATGTAATTTCTGAAATTTCGGAAATTCTGTATCTAGCGAAATTTCTGAAATTACAGAAATTTCCAATATTTCCAAAAACTTTCCATTTGCTTTGTTATGTAGTTATCGAGTTGATGGAAGCTTCGGAAATTTCTGTAATTTACTTTTTCCGAAATCTGAACATACCTCAAAAAAAGAGTTCAGGTTCATATCTTACTGCTTTCCACATATTGCATTTTTCAATACAATGCCGTGATTCCTCGCAGGAAAACTGATTTTCCAATTTCGCCTTAACACTTTGCATAATAAACAAACCTTAGTGAGAATTGTGAAAGGATCCATTCCTGTCCTGAAATAAGAACATCGAATCTACGAATATATATATATGAGCGATGTAAAAGATGAGCTTTGACTATGGCTACTACATCTTGCGATAGGTCCTACAAAAATATTTGAAACGTTCACAATAAGCTAATCTCGTTAAGACTTGGTTCTATGTAAAATTTCAAGTCGAAATTGAAAAATGCAATAGAACTCAAAAGTAATTAATCATTTGCGAGACTTTTCTGATAAGCCCGATACCAGTATCGATTCTCTTTTTTGATTAGAACTCAAGTCTAAACGTTAACCGATTCGAAGGCATAGTTTATACGTTTGATTATTTTTAGAATGCAAATGATGATTTCACTCGTCCAAGTAAAGCATTACAACCACATTCAATAGATGCATTTTGGTTACAAAGAAATTTAAGTAAAGTTTATGCTGAAGCAACTGATGCAAAATTAAAAGCACAAGAAGTTCTTGAAATTCTTAAAACAGCATCTGATGATAGAGAATTAGAAAATCAACTTGTACTTTTACTTGGTTATGGTCAATTTGATTTTATTAAAACTTTAAGAACACATCGACATATGAGTATGTATTTATTTTTTTTTTGTTTCTTTATGAATAATTCTTTTTTTGTTTTTTTAATTTTAGTTCTGTATTGTACATTACTTGCTTCATCACAAAGTGCATCGGAAAAAGCAAAAATTGAAGAAAAAATGAAAAATGATCCAGATTTAGTTTGGATTTTACAAGCTTTATCAGAAACTGATCGAAGTGATGCAGTACAGGTTAGTTTGTTTTTTTTTTGTTCTTAGAATAAAAATTCTTTTGAATCAATAGGATGATCGTGAACGTCGTGTATCATCAAAAAAAAATCGAGGTGAAGATGGAGATCAAGATGCAATGGAAACAGAAAATGGAACTACTGAAGTAAATTAAATTATAAAAAAAGAAAATTCAAAATAATAACGTTTTGTTTTTTTCTTTAGACGATTAGTAATCCACAACATGTTGTTAATTTGGAAGATCTTGTATTTGCACAAGGAAGTCATTATATGGCTAATAAAAGTTGTCGATTACCTGATGGTTCATATCGATTACAAAAGAAAGGTTATGAAGAAGTACATGTACCTGCTTTGAAACCATCAGCACTTGATCCCGGAGAGGTAAATTTCGAATAGTTTTATTGTATTTTTTTCTTAAACAAAAAAAAAAGCATTTTGCCGATAAGAATTTTAGTATAAGAGAAAAATGAATGTTGAAGAGTAGAGATGTGCAAAGCAGAATAAAAAGTTTTCATAGCCAAAGATACTTTAATCCGAGATAGAGAAAACTTTGGACTATGGGATGCAATGGTGAGAGTGTACCGTACTAAAGTTGTCTAGAGCCTATTGCATCGGTCTTACATACAGCTTTGCACTGGTCTAAATCTATACAAATAGACTAATGATAAATGCATGATAACACTATAGTGATCTTGAATTGGTTTCTATTGGGTAAAGTTTAGTCATGTTTAATAAAATTCAACTATTTTCTTGTAATAGATCTTCCTCACCCGAAAAAGTTGAAATGAATCTAAGATCACCGTTATCGTTACATCTGTATCCGAGTTTGAAGTCTCATAAAATTTATTGAAGTTAGAGGTCGTCGAATCCAAAATTTCAAACTGGAATTCGACGGGTTGCAATTGAAGTCTTCTCTCGATTTTAACACAATGTAATAAAAAATGCAAGTGCAAAACAATGAACTTCAATAGATATTAAAATCTATCACTTCAAACTTACCATCGTTTTTTCTCTCGAGAAAGGTTATACAATTTACTAATTTTAGAATCTTCCAGCTAGTATAAGATTAAGACAGAATAAGAAAAAAACTTCATGTTAATATTCTACAAAAACTTTTTTTCAAATAAATTCTAGGTTCTTTATCCAATTTCAAATTTACCTAAATATGCACAACCAGCATTTGATGGTTATAAAGTATTAAATCGTATTCAAACACGTATGGTTAAAGCAGCATTAGAATCTGATGAAAATATTTTATTATGTGCACCAACAGTAAGTCAAAAAAAATTATTCTTTTTCAAAAAAAAAACCGCTACAACTTTAATATATTTCATTGTTTTTTTTTTAAGGGTGCTGGTAAAACAAATGTTGCATTACTTTGTATTTTACGTGAAATTGGTAAACATGTTATGTCAGATGGTACAATAAATGTTGATGAATTTAAAATGATTTATATTGCACCAATGAGATCACTTGTACAAGAAGTTGTTGGAAATTTTACTAAACGTTTAAATCCATTTGGATTAAAAGTTGCAGAATTAACTGGTGATCATCAATTATCACGTGAACAAATTAATGAAACACAATTAATTGTTTGTACACCAGAAAAATGGGATATTATAACACGTAAAGGTGGTGAACGTTCTTATACACAATTAGTACGTTTAATTATACTTGATGAAGTACATTTATTACATGATGATCGTGGTCCTGTACTTGAAGCTGTTATTGCACGTACAATACGTACAATTGAAACAACACAAGATGCTGTACGTTTTGTTGGTTTAAGTGCAACATTACCTAATTATGAAGATATAGCTACATTTCTTAATGTTAAACGTGAAGGTTTATTTCATTTTGATAATAGTTATAGACCTGTACCACTTGAACAACAATATATTGGTATAACAGAAAAAAAAGCTATTAAACGTTTTCAAATTATGAATGATCTTGTTTATGATAAAGTTATGGAACATGCTGGAAAAAATCAAGTAAGAATAAATATTAGTTTTTTTCTTTTACTATTGATTATTCAATTGAAATAATTTTTTTTTTTGTTAGGTATTAATTTTTGTACATTCAAGAAAAGAAACAGGAAAAACAGCAAGAGCTATACGTGATGCTTGTTTAGAAAAAGATACAATTGGTGCATTTCTTAAAGACGGTTCAGCTTCACAAGAAATTCTTCGAACTGAAGCTGAACAAACAAAAAATTTAGAATTAAAAGATTTATTTCCATATTCATTTGCTATACATCATGCTGGTATGAATCGTGCTGATCGTACATTAGTTGAAGATCTTTTTGCTGAACGACATATACAAATACTTGTATCAACAGCTACACTTGCTTGGGGTGTTAATTTACCAGCACATACAGTTATTATTAAAGGTACACAAGTTTATAATCCAGAAAAAGGTCGTTGGACAGAATTAGGTGCACTCGATGTTATGCAAGTAAGTTTTTTTTTTATTACATTGAAATTTTTTTTAATAGTATAACAATTTTTATAGATGCTTGGTCGTGCTGGTCGTCCACAATATGATACTCGTGGTCAAGGTATTTTAATTACTAGTCATAGTGAATTACAATATTATTTATCATTAATGAATCAACAAGTAAGTTATGGTCTAAAGACTAATGACGTAGCCAGAATTTCGATAATGAGGTTTAATTGAAAAACATCTTGTATAATTAAAAAGCACAGTAACTATGAGTGTTCGCATAATATTTTTCGAATTCTATTCTTTTTGCAGTGTTCATAGTTTTTATATAGGTGCCATTTAATTTCATCATTAATTACAATAATGTTTTTTTTCTTTTATATTTTAGCTTCCAATTGAAAGTCAAATGATTTCAAAATTAGTTGATAATCTTAATGCTGAAATTGTTCTTGGTACAGTACAAAATATTCGTGAAGCAGCTGAATGGCTTAGTTATACATATTTATATGTTCGTATGATAAAAGAACCACAATTATATGGTGTATCAAATGAATCATTACTTGTTGATAAATATCTTCTTCAACGACGTTTAGATTTAATACATTCAGCTGCTATACAATTAGATAAATCTCATTTAATACGTTATGATCGTAAAACAGGTAATTTTCAAGTAACTGAACATGGTCGTATAGCAAGTCATTATTATTGTACACATGAAACAATTGCTATGTATAATCAATTATTAAAGCCAACATTAAGTGAAATTGATTTATTTCGTATATTTTCATTATCATCAGAATTTCGTCATCTAACTGTACGTGAAGAAGAAAAAATTGAATTACAAAAATTACTTGAACGTGTTCCAATACCAGTTAAAGAAAGTATTGATGAACCAAGTGCTAAAATTAATGTTCTTTTACAAGCATATATATCACAATTAAAACTTGATGGATTTGCTTTAATGGCTGATATGGTTTATATAACACAAAGTGCTGGTAGATTAATGAGAGCTATATATGAAATGGTTTTACAACGTGGATGGGCACAATTAGTTGATAAAACTTTAAGTTTATCAAAAATGATTGATAAACGAATGTAAGAAAAAAAAATCTTTTGTTTTTTTATTTAATTATTGAAGTTTGTTTTTGTTGTTTGCTAGGTGGCAAAGTATGTGTCCATTAAGACAATTTAAAAAGATACCAGAAGAAATTATTCGAAAAATTGAAAAGAAAAATTTATCTTGGGATAGATTTTATGATTTAGATGCACATGAAATTGGTAAGAATAAAAGATTAAATTTTATTAGTTAATAAAATTTTTTTTATTCTTCGATTAGGTGAATTGGTTCGTGCACCAAAAGTTGGAAAAACAATATATAAATATATTCATCATATACCAAAATTAGAATTATCTGTACATGTTTTACCAATAACACGATCAACATTAAAAATTGAATTAACTATAACACCAGATTTTCAATGGGATGATAAAATTCATGGAATGGCAGAAGTAAGTTTATTGAAAGAAAAAAAACTAAAAAGATTTAAAACATTTTTTTTTTGTTTTAGCCTTTTTGGATTTTAGTTGAAGATGTTGATTCAGAAATTTTACTTCATCATGAATATTTTCTTCTTAAAAAGTAAGTTGAAATTTTTATATTACAAATCTTAGAACATATCGAGTTATGTATAAGAGATTGTCCATCGCGGCTAGAAATCTGCCGCGATGCGGTCCTAGAAGAGACGGAACTACCGCGGCATGGTCCTAGAAGGGACGCGGCTACCGTGGCGCGGTTCTAGAAGGGTCAAGATTATCGTGACGGTTTTCGAGAAACTCTACCAAAATCTCTTCTGCCACTGGGTCAGGGATCATGTATAGAATTAGTTGTTTATCCTAAAAGTAGATATTTGCTTCCTCGGAAATACATCAAATATAGAAAACTATATGATTTTTAATTTTATTGTAGAAAATATTGTGAAGATGAACATTATGTAAAATTTTTTGTTCCTGTATTTGAAACATTACCACCACAATATTTTATTCGTGTTATATCTGATAAATGGATAGCATCAGAAACTCAAGTTGCTGTTTCATTTCGTCATTTAATATTACCAGAAAAACATCCAGCACCAACAGAACTTCTTGATTTACAACCATTACCTGTTAATGCATTAAGAAATTCAAAATATGAAGATTTATATAATTTTAAATTTTTTAATGGAATTCAAACTCAAGGTAATAAGAAAATTATTTTTTTATTTTCTTAATTATTTTTATTTTATAGTTTTTAATACATTATATAATACAGATGATAATGTATTTCTTGGCGCATCAACAGGTTCTGGAAAAACAATTTGTGCTGAATTTGCCATATTAAGATTATTTTCAAATGAAAAATTAAAAGAAAATCCCGAACCAAAATGTGTTTATGTTACACCAAAAGAAGAATTAGCTGAAATAGTACGACAAGATTGGGATCGACGTTTTGCAACAATTGGTCGAAAAGTTGTTATGCTTACTGGTGAAACAGCTACAGATCTTAAATTAATTGCTAAAGTAAATTTAATAGGAAAAAGAAAACATATTTATTTATTTATTTATTTTCTTATAGGGTCATATTATTATTTCAACACCAGAAAAATGGGATATATTATCACGTCGATGGAAACAAAGAAAAAATGTTCAAAATGTTAATTTATTTATGGTAGATGATTTACATGTTATTGGTTCAGATGATGGAGTAAGTTACTTTAAAAACTCAGTTTTCGATTGTACGCAATAAAACTTGATAATACATACATTATTAGATAGAGAAAGTTTTATTCTACTAACCTAAATATATTCCGTTTGTACAGGATTGTGCATAATCTTTTGCTAGGGGGAGTAGCGCTATGATTTCAAGTTGCATACATAATGAATTTTATAACAAATTAAAGCGCTTTGGAAACACGATATATTAGTGCTAAATAGTAAGAATTATCAAAAGCTTTCACTGTTGAACTTGCAAAATTTTCCGAAATCTTATGCTTTTTTTTTGGCATAGAAAATTAAAGTGCCAGTAATTCGAATATGGAGTAAAATATTTTTACATGGTCCGATAGAGCTTGCCAAACTCTACAAAACTTTCTATATTAAAAGTATTTTAAGTCATTTTTCTGACATAAAAAATTTTAAATATTACTTGCAACATCCTTAAAAAATGTTTTAAAACTCGGTTTTTTATATAGAAAAGAAATACTCAATAAAATTAGATTTTCTCCATTATTTTTACTGACAAAAACGTTTCGAAATATACTCATCCGATGTAGCATGAAAAATTGCGTCTAACGAGCATATTTCGAAGCGTTTTTGTCAGTGAAATCAATGAAAAAAGCTAATTTTATCGAGTATTTCTTTTCCATATAAAAAAACCGAGTTTTTAAACATTTTTAAGATGTTGCATGTTTAACACTTTTTATCCGAGAAAAATGACTTAAAAAACTTTTAATATAGAGAGTTTTGTAGAGCTCGACGAACACTATCGAACCATGTAAAAATATCAAAAGAAAATATTTTACTCCATATTTGAATTGCTCGCATTTTAATTTTCTATGCCATAAAAAAGCATAAGATCTTGGAAAACTTCGTAAGTTCAACACTGAAAGGTTTTGATAACTCTTACTATTTGGTACTAATATATCCCGTTTTCAACGCGCTTTAATTTGGTATAAAATTCATTAAATGTTCAACTTGAAATTATAGCGTTACTTCCCCTAGCAAAAGATTATGCACAATCCTGTAGATCAAAATTTTATAATTGCCTTTTAATACTTCCGAAAATTAGCTTCACTGCTTTAATATTACTATTTACTATCGAAGATGATTGAAAACTTTTGACGGAAGAAGAAACAATTGTTGAAGCCTCATGGCTTTGCCACATACAATTATTAGCTCTTGATATAGAATGCAAGTCAAAGAAATATAGCATCACCTACGATTACTGCTAAGCATTAGCAACAAATCCTATAAAACTTGGACAAAATTTTCAATAGACGAAAAATTCGTGAGAAGAAAAATTTCAGATGTGAAACACGGTGTAACTCCTATTGCTAATTACAAGAAGATTGTTTTATTCTATCAACATTATGTTTTTTTTGGTTGTATATAAATATCTATTATAGTCTGTGAGGAGAAGAGTTCAAATGTTTATCTCTATTTCCTTTTAAATTGTATTTCACAATACTATATGAAACTTGATTTTCTTTTATTCTAGCCTGTTCTTGAAGTTATTTGTTCTCGTATGCGTTATATGAGTTCACAAATTGGACGAAATATTCGTATAGTATCTATGGCTACATCTATACTTAATGCAAAAGATATTGCACAATGGCTTGGTTGTAGTACAAATGCAACATTTAATTTTCGACCAAGTGTTCGACCAGTTCAACTTGAATTACATATTCAAGTAAGTTTTTTATTTTTTTATTGTTTTAATATTTATCAAAAATAAATGAATAATATATATATATATAGGGTTTTAATATGACACATAATGCATCACGTTTAATTGCCATGGCAAAACCTGTTTATCAAGCAATAAATCGTCATTCATCAAATCATCCAGTTATTGTTTTTGTTCCATCACGTAAATTATCACGTATGACAGCAATTGATATATTAACATTTGCTGCTGCTGAACAAAAACAAGATCGATTTTTACATATATCAACAAATGAAATTGAACCATTTACAAAGGAACTTGAAGATCAAACATTAAAAGAAACTGTTCTACGTGGTGTTGCTTATTTACATGAAGGTTTAAATCATAAAGATCGTACAATTATTGAAGAATTATATACAGCTGGTGCTTTACAAGTTTGTATTGTATCACGTAGTATGTTATGGACATTAAATTTATTTTCATATTTGGTTATTATTATGGATACACAATATTATAATGGACAAGATCATACATATGATGATTATCCTATAAGTGATATTTTACAAATGATTGGTCGTGCTAATCGTCCATTAAAAGAAACTGATGCTAAAGTTGTATTAATGTGTTTATCATCAAAAAAAGATTTTTTTAAAAAATTTCTTTATGAACCATTACCTATTGAATCACATCTTGATCATTGTTTACATGATCATTTTAATGCTGAAATTGTAACAAAAACAATTGAAAATAAACAAGATGCTGTTGATTATTTAACATGGACATTAATTTATAGACGTATGACACAAAATCCAAATTATTATAATTTACAAGGTGTTTCACATCGACATTTATCTGATCATTTATCAGAATTAGTTGAAAATACATTAAATGATCTTGAACAATCAAAAGTAAGAGATAATTGTAAATAAAACAAAAATTAAAACTAATTTTATTTATTTATTTATTTAGTGTATTACAATTGAAAATGAAATGGATACATCACCACTTAATCTTGGAATGATTGCTGCTTATTATTATATTAATTATCGAACAATTGGTAGGTATTATCTTCCATAGGAAGTTGCAGATCTACGTTTTTTATGGATCTGGATCCGAACAAAATTTAAAAGGAAGTAGCGCTTATACTCCCTGCCGCAGATTTTTTTTTTCGCACAAATTTTTTTTGGTTGTGGGCAGTATGAAGATTCAAAATCACCTAACCAGACCTTGGATATTTTTAGTCTTAGCAAAAAAGAATCAATATTTTAGAGAATGGTCATTTATATAGGGAAAGTACTATGTAGAGGTTTCTGTAGTCGAAAGTTGGTTATTATATAAAATGAGTATGATATTCAGAATTACACTAGACAGTCTATTTTTCATTGTAAAATATTTTCCATGAAAATTTGACCAGGGGGGAAAATCTCATGGATAAAAGGTTGAGGGGGAGTAGGTGTCAGATTTCCATGGAAAATATTTTACAATGAAAAATAGGCTGTCTAGTGTAATTCTGAATACCATACTCATTTTACATAAAAACCAACTTTCGACTACAGAAACCTCTAAATAGTACTTTCCTATATAAATGACCGTTTTCTAAAATATTGATTTTTTTGTCTAAGACTAAAAATGTCCAAGGTCCGGTTGGGTGATTTTACATCTTCATACTACTCACAACCAAAAAATATTAAAACGAAAAGAAACCTTGCAGAGGGAGGGGGCGTATAGCCTATGAAAAAAGCGCCACTTCCTTTAGACCCGGACTCGGTCGAGTCCAAGCCCGAGATTGTTTCCATCAATACCTGACACCCTTTGAACAAGTGAAAGATCAAGGTTTCCGCTATTTATTCGCTACTCTCAGAAAAAAAACTCGGCGTGCAGTTATACCTTGTTGCTGAATTTCTCATCTGGAAAGCAGCAGGTCCACAAAAACGTGTAACTGAGTCCAACAAAAACTAAAAGATTGAACCCCAACCCATAGCTTCCTAATCTTCAATCAATATTTATTCTTATCTCTATTGTATTTTTCTTTTTTTTCGTATAGAATTATTCAGTAAATCATTAACATCAAAAACAAAAATTAAAGCATTACTTGATATTGTTGCTAATGCAGCTGAATATGAACGTATTCCAATTCGACATCATGAAGATAATATTTTAAAACAGGTATAATAATTTTTTTTTTTCTTTCCGAAAACAACAAATAAAATCTTATCGTTATTCTGTTTTTGTTTTTGTCTTCAGCTTGCTACACGTTTACCAAATAAATTAAATAATGTTAAATTTAATGATCCACATGTTAAAGCAAATCTTTTACTTCAAGCACATTTATCACGTATTCAATTATCAGCTGAACTTCAAAAAGATACTGATGAAATTTTAATAAAAGTAAAATTTTCACAAAAAAAAAAAAAAAAATTAAAATTTTTTTTATATTTTATTTTTAGGCTATTCGACTTATACAAGCATGTGTTGATGTATTAAGTTCAAATGGTTGGTTATTACCAGCATTAGCTGCTATGGAATTAGCACAAATGGTTACACAAGGCATGTGGAATAAAGATCCATATTTAAGACAATTACCACATTTTACATCAGAAATTATTCAACGATGTACAGAGAAGGTATATTTTTTTTTGTTATCTGTTATAGCTTTTTTCTTATAATTTATTTTTTTTTTAAGAAAATTGAAACTGTATTTGATTTAATGGAAATGCAAGATGAAGAACGTGTTGAATTACTTCAATTAAGTACATCAAAATTAGCTGATGTTGCTCGATTTTGTAATCGTTATCCAAATATTGAAGTATCATACGAAGTTCCTGATAAAGATGATATTACATCTGGTAGTACAGTTAATGTTAATGTATCATTAGAACGTGCTGATGAAGTATCAGGACCAGTTATATCACCATTATTTCCACAAAAACGTGAAGAAGGTTGGTGGTTAGTTATTGGAGAATTAAAAACAAATGCATTAATATCAATAAAACGTTTAACATTACAACAAAAAGCTCAAGTTGTTCTAGATTTTACTGCACCATCAGCTGGTACACATAATTATATACTTTATTTTATGTCCGATGCTTATATGGGTTGTGATCATGAATATAAATTTTCAGTTGATGTCCACAAAGGAGTTAATAATGACGCTGACATGAAATAAATCATCGTATCTTTTTTTTTCTTCTTTTGTATGTCTTTGCTGTTGTTGTTGTTATTCTGTACTTATAAAGAAATAACTTAGAAAAAAACAAGAACAAATATTTCTTTTAATCTAGCTAAAGTTCTATAAAAACAAAAAAAAAACGAAAATTTGAGTGATATTATGATTTGATGTACGTAAGAATACATGAAATATTATACAATCATTTTCTTTTTTCGTGAGATCTTTAGATAACTTGTTTTGAATGATATAAAAAATAAAACTTGTCAATATGATCCTATGACAGGTCAAAATATAAAACTCACAAACTCTTACTATTATAAATTCATGATATATATTGTCAGAAAAGTTAAAATA